ATTCTTCACATACAATCGCATACAATTATTATGCATTCACAATATCGTGCCAACGGCAACGAACTCAATCACATTCATCATGCACTTTTAATTTATTTAAATAATGCATATATTGGTCAAAAGACCGCATTCCATAATCGATACCACAATCTAGGATTCACGCCATACGGCTACCCACAACATATCACACAACAGCACATAAACTATTCATTTCCGATAAAGATTGAACACAATCGAACCAAACAATCAACATCGGATGAAAACGTTGTCACACTCGCTAGCTTGCTCGTCTAGCGAGTTCCTAGCGAACACTCGCTACCTGTTCGCCTAGCGAACAAGCTCGCGAAGGCAAACAGAAGCTACTGTAAGGCTTCGCTACCTACTCGCTGGGGCTTCACCTAGCGAACCCCTCACTACCTCGCTCGCTACTAGCGAAGAGGGTCAATTACATTTTGTCCAAGTCTGGGGCCATTCGCTACTAGCTCGCTACAACGAACACTCGCGACCTGCTCGCCTAGCGAAGGTGCTAGTGAATGTCTGCGATGTTCAAAACCCCAGCTGTCCAAAACTCTCCGAAACTCCCAAAATCACCCGATTTAATTCCAACAATTCCCAGTAGTCTTAGTCTAACAATCCTCGACTAATCTACACCATTTATTCTCAATCTTAACTGTTAAAATATCGATTCTACCGATTAAACTCGTTTCTGCCCTAAAATGGAAAATGGAGAAAAACATCCAAACAATCCAAACAATCCCTACATAATCATACACATTGATAAGATAATGATATTTCATACCATTACCTTGATTAAATCGAAGCTAGAAGTTGTTCTTGAGCTTTCCAAACTTTTTCCTCTTTTTCTCCTCTTCCTCTTTCTTTCTCTTCTCTTTCTCTTGTGTTTCTATTCTTTCCTCTTTCTTCCACTTTTCCTTATATGTCTTTCTATTCTATTTCCTTCCATTATATTTCTTCTCTCAAAACATCTACCAATAATTCCAATAATTAAAATCATCCAAATAAATCAATTAATTAATATGAATAATTAATTAATTAAAATTGGGTTGTTACATCGAAGGTATAAGTTATCTTAGAGAACCTATCACTTTTCTTTGAATCAACTGGAATTTTTCCATTTGGCGGTGTTAAGACTTTACAGGAATAAGGTGGACCTTGCTTTTGTTCAGCAAGGTCGATTTCGCTCTCGTCGAAAAAATAATCACTACTCGTTTCTTGTTCGTCTTCCTCAAATTCGACGTAGGTTTCTCTTTCTTTTTTATTATTCTTGTTTGCCCTAGCTTTCTCAGTCTTCAGGCATTCTACCTGTCGAACTCTATCGACCAACTGGGTCATGTCTCTCAAGTATTGTATATCCAATTTCTTCCTAATTGAGTAACCAAGGCCACCAACGCCCATTTCGACCAACTCATGTCCAGGAACTTGTGTAAAACACATGGCCTTAAGTAAGCGAAACCTATTCAAGTAATCATCTATTGGCTCCGAAAATTTCCTCTTAATGCTGGCCAATTCCATCAGACTTATTTTTGACTGTTCCATATAGAATTGTTAATGGAACAACCTCTCCAGTTGGGTCCAATTATGGATCGAATTTGCTAGTAATGTGGTGAACCAGGTAAAGGTATTCTTGGTAAGTGAACTTGGGAAATATTTCATCCTTAGGTTCTCATTATTGGTAATTTCTTCTATCTTTATTAGGTATCTCGTCACATGTTCGACTGTGGACTCACTAGTATCCCCAAAAAAACTTAGTAAATTTGGGGAATTTCCATCTAGGGGGTAATTTTGTTTCCAGAACGTACTCCGACAATGGCGATGTATAGTGTGGCCTATGAAGGAAAATATTTACACCATTCCTTGCCATAACTCTTTCGACCATGGTTGTTAGGTTAGTGTCTGCCGCCACATCTTCACGTCGAACCTGATTTATGACCTCATCAGCGTTTTGGTTCTTATTCACCATTACTACCCTTGGTTCCCTTGGGATCTGTTGCTCAATTATAGGAAGTTCGACCCTAGGTGGTTTAACTCCCACTCTCTGGTTTCTCACGTTCGCCTAGGGTCCATTTCGTTGGACTTGGTTAATTGCGGGGTCTTCTTCCAAGACTAACCCTGAGTTTTTTCTTACCCATTTTCTCTGGTGTTGTCGAGGAGGTTGAGGGACACCAAATAGATCAGCAATGCACGTCATTTGCGTCGCTAATTGTTGGTTTGTTTGGGTAGTGTTTTGGATTAATGGATTAAATATAACACTCATTTGTTGGGCAAGCATCTGGACTATTTTATGATTGCTTTCGTTCATTTGCTGCCTTATCACCGCTGCAGATTTTTTATTGATATTAGGCATTTGGGTAGGAAATTCTGTCCCTAAGGGTTGACTAATTCGACCCATGTTATTAACGCCCGAACCAGATCCTTGTAATGGTAAAGTTGCATTCACCACTGGGTCTGAGAACATTGATGATGAATATAAACTTGCCATCAATGATGTAGGCATGCCATAAGGTTGTTCACGCCCTATTGGAGGCATCGAAAATCCAAGCATATAAGGTCTGAATACATTACTCCCTATTGCAGGAGGGGTCATTAGTGGACCTTGTGTTCCCACATAAGATGATATGGGTCCACTTTGTGCAATCGACTACACAGGCGTCGTAGACGCCATGGATTATAGTGGTTCCGAAATTTACGCTAGAACTGTAGTTCCCCCTGTGAAGAGGAAGGTGTGGTTCTTCATAGTTTGATGGATTTTGGTTATTTGGTGGATTTTTATTCACCATCCTTCTTACGTATCTTCTGGTTGGTCTGACTTCGTTGTTTGTTGGTATTATACCACTCTTAAGTCTCATGCAACAAATTTTTGAGAGATAGTAAAAATGAAGAACTTATAAAAAGATTTATAGAAAGAGACAATATTTTTGAACAATAGCACCGCCCCATTGGGCATGCCAATTTATTTACCGTGAAAATTCGTAAACAACCACTGGTCTTGCAAAAAATGATTTACTTGCAGGATCAACCAGTGAATCCTTAGGACATATCTATTGTTAAAATAATTTATGGAAATGTAAAGAACACTTCAAAAGTGCCCATACTTGTGAAAGATTGTTTAAAGTTTTGAAAAGATAAACTTACAAAATTGTAAAGTTGCAATAAAGATAAACTTCAAAGTAAAAGTGCAGTAAAGAGATAAATGATAAATTGGAAGTAAATTTCAATTGAAATAAATGTGGTGTTTCAAACGTACATTTCTTAATAAAAACTCTTTTCTCACTTGACTTAGATACTTTGAGTGACTTTTTGAGTATTTACAACAATAAACACACAAAAATCCTAACACTAAGACTCCTATTTATAATATGTCGAAAATAATTGTCTTCAACGGATAATCCTCCAAAAAATGACACGTTTTGCTCTGCATGTCTTCATTTCGCCACAGCCCTCCACGCGTCCTCTCTTGAGAAATGTATAAGGACAAATGCAATTATTATTCGTATTTTGAATTTCAAAACTTTTGTCGAAGGAGAGCCACATACACCCTCCATCGAAGTTGATATTCAAACTTAAAAAATATTTCTAAGTGTTTTTCCAGCATGTCCTCGTTATGAAGACCTTTTCGACTAGGCTTTTTGCACAAGCTCTTGTCGAATTCAACAACAACTCAAGAAACACTTGATTTTTATTTATTATTCTTAAACAAAGTTTGGCGTCAAAATTCCCAGCCAAAAGGATGTAAAACATTAAATTCAAGGTGGTGGCTAAAATGTAGGCAGACCTCAAGGGTTTTATGTGACACAAAACAACCGATTAAGATGAAGGGAAAATTTTATTGGACAACGATAAGACTTGCAATTTTGTACAAGACAAATTGTTGGACATTTAAGAATCAACACAAAAATAAAGTAAACTGAGATGAAAATGTTACATTGAATGTATTGTAAGACTAAAGGAAAATAAGAATGTAAATAATAATAATATTAGAGTGAGCGTTGAGGTAATACCCATCTATACTGAAAAGATTGTAGAAAATAAGTTGAAGTGTTTTAGACATGTAAAAAAAGACATGTAAATTATGTTGTAAAGAAATTAAATAAAATAGAGAAGAGTCACACAATTTATAATAGAGAAAAATCTAGAAGGCTAAAAAATAAAATATAAAAGATATCTAGTTTAACTAATTGAAAAAGAATAGAATCTTTGAGTATAATATTATAGTGTCATTTAATTCGGTTAGTGGATCCATTGAGATAAAGTTTGGCTATTGTTAGAGTTAATAATTAATTATAAATGGCTATGATTTATATAAATGTTATATTATTGATAATAATTGATTGTGTCAATAATGGATTTAAATAATTGATTCAATGTTGTTTCATATTCCTTTCTATCAAACAAAATTAGAGAGAAAAAGTTACTCCACCCTATAAATCCCACAATTTTTTTTCATTTTTGTTACAAAAACTTAAGGAGTTTTTTAGTAGACAAGGCAGAGGTAAAAATGACAACAATTAAAACAAGAGTAGTAACTTCATGGACCCATGTTGTTACATGATATAGTTTTTTCATAATACATTAATTATTATAAAGAAATGGAAACAAGATGCATACAATTGATAGAGACTGATGAAATTGGGATGGAAACAATGCCAAAGCAGAGTCAAAAAAGATACAAATACTCTGCTAGCATCATTTCTAACATTACATTGATGCTTGAGAATTACTTGTGTCACAAGCATCAACAAAATGCCTAAAGCCACAACTAAGAAACTGTTTTCTTGATTGATGGTTCCCTACAGGTTCATGCTAAATTACAAGCCCTTCTAAGCTTGAACAAAAACACAAGCCTGTGACGATTTCAGATTCAGCCGCTCACAAAATGCTATACAACGATCATTCCATAGCCTTTTACAATACATATACAAAGGGAGGAACAAGAAACCTTAAAATGCAGCACACAGGAAGGACTAACAAATAACAATGTATCACTCCATGATTAGTTCCCTATGGCGGTTTAGGTCCTTCAAGTAATTTGAACAAGTGTAATCCTCTAGGTCACATGCCTCTAACATGAGTGATTTTGAGGAACCTGTGTTCTGCTTGGAATCTAAAATTGTTTCCAAGCCCTTCAATAGCCGCGCAGCCTTTAATCAAGACAGAAGCAAGTCAGGTTCAAGACACCAACACATGTGTATTACGTGTCAGTGTTGTGTCTGATGTCGGCGTCAATGCTTTATAGAAAATGTTTATTTTGTTACCTGTTTCATGAACGGACGCTTGGAGGTTGAATGGTGGACGCACAAGGAAGCCGTCGCCATGGAACGCTTCATTTCAATAGGATCATAATTCTCTTCTAATCTGGGATCTGTTAGTTCCTTGACATTGTTTGAATCAAGCAGTGGCTTGGCCTGGCAATAGTATATCATGATCACATCTTATCACACTTAAATTAAATAGTATATAAACTTCTAATCTTAGTACTCCTTACCCAAATCACAAGACTTTGTCTACTATCTGAATCAACTGCGCGACGACCTGTTATAAGTTCTAGTAGCAAAACGCCAAACGCGAACACGTCAGTCTTCTCATCCACAATACCATGCATAAAGTACTCCGGAGCCAAATATCTGCAGATATACATTGAAACGTCAAGTGTTTTAGAAAATGGTTAATACTAAGAAGAAAACATCATAGAGGTTCAAGACTAACCCAAATGTTCCTTCTATAGGAAAAACAACATGGTGTGCCCAATTATTTGGGAGCCATTTTGCAAGTCCGAAATCAGATATCTGAAGTTTAGTGTAATAGGAATGATGTTAATTTACTTTTACGGTGAGAAAAGAAGAATCTAAGATGAAATTACAGTGCTAGCGAAAGTACCTCAGCTTCATAATTATCATTGAGTAATATGTTGGAGGCTTTGATGTCCCTGTGAATGATTCGTCTCGGACAATCCTTATGAAGATAATCCAATCCATCGGCTACTCCGATAGCTACCTTGTACCTTGTCTTCCACTCTAAGCATTCAGAACCTAACATGTTGAACATAATTGTGTTAGCAATAGCAAGCGCAAGTTAGAATATTAAGCGCTAGAAAACGGAGAAGTAAAAGCTATGAAAGAAGCGGTGCGCACCAAAGAGCAAAGAAGAAAGGCTTCCATATGGTGCTAATTGTAGGACAAAGTAGAGGCCTTTTTCGATACCAAACCCAACAAGGTGTGTTGCATTGGGGTGGTTTATGTGCGCGATGATTCCAAGCTCAGTCAAGAAATCGCCTGCTCTATCGGCGAAATCCTTGTCGTTCTTCATTAGTCTCTTAACAGCTACAACTTGACCATCTGATAATTGTCCTTTGTATACTTCAGCGTGACCACCTTTTCCAACCAAGTTCTCTGTGTAACAAAAATATCAAGATAAAACAAACGAAATGTTATGTTTTTTGACATTCTAAATTCAAACACAAAGAGTAAAAGTGATTTTTTCTATTGGAACACCACAAAGGACAATCTCAAATCAAACTAACTGTGGTTTGCATTAAATTACTTCAAAAAATGACAGATTGCCGATATTTTAGAAAATAAAGTAGAAATGAAAACAAAGATTTGGAACATGTTGGGTCAAATTTTACTTGATTGAATGAATATACCCCAGAATGGAAACAAACATAACATCATATGTCTTGATTACAACATTGGAAAATCACATTGAAATATACATTGGGATGTGAGAAATGATGCTTAATGGTGTATCCAAAGAGGCAATTAGACTAGTTGGATGTGATTCAACAAAAACAAGTATAAACAGTGAATTTAAATATGTTTTGAGACATTTATATTTGTTTTGCTTCATAGCATTTTTAACATGTATTTTTTCCTTTGATTAAATATGGTCGAAATCCACAAAATATCGCAGTTTTGAACCTGAGACCATACATTTAATGTTCTATGCACCTAACAACTAACAACTGAGGTGTTTTAACATGTACTCTTTTTTATCATGGGCAGGTGCAGACAACTCCGATAAATACGGGATGACGGGCCCATGAGAAGTTATCTGTCCTTGTCAGCCCTATTATGTTTTAGTTGGGTCAAAAAGGTCGTCTGCTCTGCCCTCCTTTTCCAACAGAAAAACAACATTAGCCCTAAAACCAACTCAGTTGACCAGAGTCATCTTTTTTTGTTTAGTGCATTGGCTAGCTACACTTCCTAATTACTACTTACTCTGTTACATAAATAGATCCATTTGAAATTAAAAAAATGTCTCAAAATAAATTATCTATTTTAATTTTTAATACTCTTTTCAATTATACCCTTTAATTATTTTCATCATTCTCAATAAGGATATTTTTGATAAAAATATTATTTTTATTCTTTCAATTATTCATTTTTTTAATATGTGTAAAATACTCACTTGCATCATTCATTGTAGGATGAAGGGGAGTATAAAATTGATAAATTCTTTAGTACTCATTCAATTTCAAAATAACTATTGTTTAAACTTTTTACACACAGATTAAAAAATATAATAATGTAGAAAAGTGAAAATAACATTTATTTTAAAATAAATTTTATTCGTTAAAACCACAATTATTTTAAAACAGAAAAATTATTAATTTTTGTTGAACGCTAATCCCCTTAGTATAAATAATTTAAACTTGTAATTTATTTTAAAATAAAATAATATTAAAATATGACATAACATGTTATTGTATTATTAGATAAAAATATTGTTGGAGTATCAATCTGTTCACCTAAAACAAAAATTATGTTTTTATGCTTTTACTATATTAGTAAAAATAACAATTACCAATCAAACTTTATCTCACTAAATAGAGTTTGATTAAGACATCAACTTTAGTTATAATGTTTTGTTCAGAATCATATATTTATCTAAATTATTAATTTCAATTTTCTTTTATCATTTCTCTTATAATTTGTTTTTTAATTTTTCTTCTACTTCTAATGTTTGACCACTGTCTCTCTAATTTATTATTTTTACCATATAATCTTTTAGATAAAAATAAGAGAAAGAGGGAGTACAAACAAACCAACCCCTTCATAAAAACCTCAACCACTCATTTATCTTAAAAGTTTTTTATTTTCTTTTAAAGTATAGTTTTAAATTCATTAGTTTTTGACCTAGTAAAACCTTAAATTTTAACATTTTATAGTATAATAATACCTACCTAAATATATTTATTATTCAATAAACTTGAAAACTAAATTGTCTTTTATTTAAAGAAAGGGAGGTATGATTATATAAGAAGACTTTTTTTGTCAGAGAATTTGGTAAGAAAAATGAAATTCTCCGGTGTTAATTGTTAACCAGGATAGAATTTATATTATTAAAAAAAAAAAGGAAAAAAGATAAAGATATAGTAAATACCAGAATTGAAATCATTAGTAGCAGCAGCAAGTTCTGCATAATCAAAGTTCCTCCAAGAAGGTTTGGTAGGAATAGCCCCAATATCAATATCTTCTTCCGCACTTCGAATCCGAGCCAATTTCTTACCGAAACCTTTCCTAGTTATTTCGTTCGTAGCCATAGTAAACAGAGGAATAGCCGTTAATTTTCTCACTGATTTAAACCTAAAAACATCCACCATTGTTTTCCATTGCTGCACTTGGCTTTCTTTTCCACCATCTGATTTTTCTATTGGCGGCGGTGAAGGTGACTTCTCCAATGAATCAAAGCTGAAACTGCTGCTTCTACTGTTGTCTGACTCAGGGGTGTCTAGTACGGCTCGCGGTGATGCTTCATCGTCATCGCTAGAATACTCTTTTTTGTTGTCAACCTTTGATTCCATTTTGGGTTTTGTTCTCTTCCTTTTTCCCTCTCTTTTCTATCTCTGCCAAAAATATCAAACGCCACGTTTTTTTACAGAGAAAATAAACAAGAATATGATTTTTCGCTAACGAATTTAATGATGATATTTTATTACATATGAATGTTCGGTTTGTTTCTATGTATAGTGCAACAGAAACAAAGGAAACTAATAAAAAGTTTAATGAAAGTTTACCTGTTTTTTTTCTCCAATGTTACGATTAGTTTTCCATTGATTTCAAAGAGAAATATCTGCACCTGAAATATGATAGAAGGTTTTTTTATGTAAGAAAAAAAACCTTCTTTGCATTTGGTGCGGGGTATGGAAAAAAATAACAGAGGAGGAAGAAGGGTGATGAAGAGAGAGGGAGGTGAATGGAAAGAGAATGGGAAACAGAGAAGAAAGAGTTTTCTGATTTTAAATTGGTGTTCTTTTTTATGAGCGGTGCTTATTCTTGGGAAGGGAGGGGCGTGTAAATTCTTGCTTTGAGATGGAGTGTTGGAGATTTTGCTATATTTATAGACACATAAAGTGTTTTTAATTTTAATTTTAATTTTAATTGTATTCATTTCTTGCATTTGTTATGTTTTGTATAGTGGGGCTAAAGTTTTATTGAAATTACATTGTATTCAATTGGGGCCTAAAGTTTTAGTTATGTATAGTTCTTTAGATATTTATATTTGACATATATGAAGTGTGGTATTATTAAAAATTGGATTTAAATTGTTAAGGAAATTGAAATTCTAAAAAATTTGAAATATAGGAAATAAATAATTAGTTTTTCAAATGTCGATTAAGATTTTTTTAAAGGAAAAAAAATGCTTTAAAGCCTTTAATCTTTTTACATTGTATTTTTTTTATTGTATTTTTATTTTTTCTATGTTGATTAACATTCATTTTATATTTATATATAAAACTCAAAACTTAAACTTTTAAGTAAAGATAACCAAATTTATTATATTAACAATTGTTGAGAATGTAGCAACGTGGGACTATTGCTCATACTAATAATACTTGCTACATTTTCAATATTCCTTCTCAAGTGTGAGTTCACAATGGTCCTCCTCAAATAAAAACTCTTCTTACTTCCACAAACCCTTGTACCGCACATAACGTTTCTTACTTACTACCTTTTTGGTGTCGTTGACACTCTTCAACGAAACGTTTCTTATTCACCATCCTTGTGGCGCCGTTGACTTTTTATACAAGTAAGTTGCTCCCTTTTTCCAACCAAAGACTCATGATACCATGTGTTGGGGGAGTTTTTCACTAGGAAGCATTGAACATTGTAAGACTTCTTTCTTTATAAGTAACACCTTTGTGAGAGACACACCACATATTCACGCAAAACCTTAACGGAAATTTACCAAACCCCCTTCCAACTCTTGACGGCAAGAATTGGCCTCAATGGAGCAAACAGATGCAATCTCTATTTGTCTTTCATGAAACTCTAGAAGTGTTACTAATGGCGTTTCTGCGGTTGGTGAAGATGCAACCGACGCACAAAGAACCGCTCACAAAGACGCCAAGAAAAAGGATTAAAGATCGACAAGTTCCTAACTTTGAGAAAAAAATTATGAATAGTTCAGATCGACAATGATTAGTGTGTTTCGACAACTCGAATTATAAGGAGGTATGTTGAGATATTAGATATAATTCAAGTTGAGTTATGTGACCTAAGCCCAAAGTTAATTAGGGTTTAGGGTTTGTTACTTTACTTAGTAAACCAGTTAGTTGTATATAAATACATAGTTTGTAATTCAGTTCTTATCATTCAATTCAATATACAATACTTATTGCTTTATTCTCTCTCTTTATCTCCTCACTAAAAGTGTCTCACGCACTAACAACTATGAGGTTTAAGTTTTATTTAATTGTTGGAAATGTCAATATAACACAAAATAAAAATCAGTGACAGATCTGTTTGGAACAGAAGAAAGACATAAGAAAGAAATAGATGCGAGAGAAATATGAGAGTGACATCACTTCTCTAGTTTGAAACATAAGTAAAATAAGAAAGAGAGCTAAATCAGATATTTTTCACAATATTTTTACTACACCTCTCAAAACACAGACACACCTGATGATCATGCAACACTTAATTTAAATAAACATGCAACATAATATTTTAATGCACACAATTGCGCTTAGGATGTTTAGACTAATCAATTCATATGATATGTATTTGGAATGTTTACAGAGCATACAACTTATCTGATATTGTGGAACCGGAATCATAATTAACACGCACCAATTTAAATCTCATGATAAAACTTCATATTATAATTAAAAGCATCGACTTGTAAGTCTTCTCCAAATGCTTATCACACCAAAACGTAAACATACGAGAGCATACATTATATCTCAGAAAACCACAACATAAAACAAAGAAAATTGCTCCATAGTATTACATATTAGAGCATAACCAAAACTAAAACAACGAAACTAAAAAAAATAGCTCCGGGAGCTAGCTTCCACTCATAATAGTGTCTCTACTCTTGAGTATCTGCACGATGCCCATATGGAGGCAACATTCAAACATAATGGGTGAGAAATCACAATTAATAATAACAAGCATATATTACAAGGTAGGATATTAAACATATAACATATTCTACACAATCTCAATCATAGTATATCAATTACATTCTCACACCCAACTCACCAAATCAATCATAACTCAACAAACATATCTTAACAAATGCACATATGACTCGTTTTACAATGGAACTCATCTATGCAACTCTAAGCATAGGTATGTGGTACCGACTCAACATTTGGTTCTCTTTGGAACCGGGTCACCTCTTCTTGAGCCCTTTCTTATGAGCTTCAAGCCTCCTCTCTAAGCTTGGGACAAGCCATTAATCCCATCTTCTGAACTAGTGAACATGCCTTTTGACACAACTCATCATGAATGTATAAGCATGTTAACAAAATTCAATGCGTTAAGACCCCTCTTATGATCCTAACATACATGAATTGACAACTCCCGTAATCCTCTCTTCTGGATTACCACAACAACTAACATAATACTCAGCATAGTAACATAATCCCATTATGTATAATAACTCAACTCAATAAAATTATCAATCCACATTTTTGTAACTCACCTTTAACTCAACGATACCCAACAACATACTTATAAATAAACAAGTATTCAAGAGAAAGCATAGTAATCTGGCACAACATCCTCAACTCGTCTATATATAATTATCTCTCATAAAAATTAATAAAATCAATTAAAAAAATTTTGTTATAATTTTTTTTAATACAAAAAGAGGGTCAAAGGCCCGAACAAGAGAAACTAGACAGAAGGCCTAATAAAGGAACCAACTAAATCAAAGTCTAACATCCGGATAATATCCGGAAAAGGAACATCCAACCAAATCCCATCCTCCGAGCTTGGGAGATCCATCTTGGCCAAGAAATCAGCACACTTGTTTTTTCCCTAAGTATGTGCTTGAAAAAGACTTCATCAAACTTAAGGAAGTGCCTTTACTGAAATTCAGACTAGAATCTGCCAGGGACTCGACAACCTGCTTAATGTCCAATTGGACAATAATATTATTGAAATTGTGCTGCCAAGCAAACTTCAAACCACTATAAACCCCTGAAAACTCAGCTATGAGACTGTTGCAACTGTCGAGGTACTTATGATAACCATCACGTCAGCTTTCATTGTTATCACGACGATATTTTCATGGATGTTACGGTTATGAGTTAAACCAGATTGATTGGGAGAGGTAATGCTATCCATATGCTTCTTGAGCCTATTGATAATATTGAGTTTCACAGCGCAATAGGTCGAAACTGAGAAACAAATCGGGGGTTCTCAAGTTTAGGAATAAGGAAAATATCAGTATAATTAATTTCGGCCAAAGAAGTATCTTGTTGCCATATTTGGTGAATGAAGTTGCAAGTATTTTCACCCGTATGCTCCCACATTTCTTGAAAGAAACCAGCCGGAAATTCGTCAGGTATATGGGATTTCCAGGCTTCCATGTCAAACACTGCTTGCTTGACCTCAGTGGAAGTCAGAGCAGCTCCTAAAGATCTTAAGGTAGAATTAGATAAGTTTGGAAATCTGTGCTGAGTGTGAAACCAGTCAGCTGTAGCAATCTCAGATGTGAAGCAAGTTTTGAAATGATTTTGGAACACGACTTTTATGATTTACTTGTCTTAAATCCATTCATTGTTATTATCTTTAAGCATGTTGATGGTTTTCCTACGCCTTCTTTGAACTGCTCTAGTATGGTAGAAGTTGGTGTTTCGATCACCATTCACTAGCCAATTCCTTTGAAACCAAACTAGTTCTTCTTGATACAAAATCTTAGCAAGGTTGATTTGCAACTACTTTTCAAGTTTACAAAGACCCTTATGTTCTTTCCCATTTTGAATAGCACGTTGAATCCCTTGAGTCCTACTATTCAGTTGGATCTTCAGTCGACGAATACTACCAATGCTATGGAGATTCCATTGTATAGCATTAACTTTGAAGGATTCCTGACTTTGTAGCAGAGAATGATTAGATTCCCAAGCCTGTTTTAGCATATGCTCAAAAGTTTCTTCAATCAACCAGGCACACTCGAATTTGAAGGATCTCGCCACTTTTCTAAACTCTTTATCAACAAGAGTAAGAAGAAAAGAATGGTGGTCAGAAAAATCCACCCTGTGGAGAACCTTAACATAAGCTTCGGGATAAGAATTTCTCCAAGCAGTGTTACAAAAAAAACGATCCATCTTCTCAAAGATTCTCGTACCTTTGTGGATAATATGACCTCTCCACGTATACAAATAACCAGCACTTCCCATGTCAAGTAAGTCACACTTGTTAATGAGCTGTTGAAATAAGGTACATCTTTTTAAGGAAGTAGGAAGACCACCCCCTTTTTCATTTAAATGGAGCATGTCATTGAAATCTCCTCCAACAACCCATCTCGTAGTCATATTAGTCGTAATGTCAGCAAGCTCTGTCCAGAGGT